CATGGTGGCGTGTGCCTGTAATCCCAGCTACTCAGGAGGTTGAGGCAGGAGAATTGCCTGAACCCAGGAGGCAGAGGTTGCGGTGAGCCGAGATCACGCCATTGCACTCCAGCCTGGGTAACAAGAGTGAGACTCCGTCTCAAAACAAACAAACAAACTAACCAAAATAAAACAAATTAGCCGGGTTGGTGGTGTGCCTATAGGTCCAGCTACTGGGAGGCTGAGGCAGGAGAATGGCTTGAACCTGGGAGGCGGAGGTTGCGTGAGCTGAGATCACACCATTGCAATCCAGCCTGGGCAACAGAGTGAGACTCCACCTCAAAAAAAAAGAATCCTCAGACCCAGGAGGCATATACCAGTGGGGGAGTGGGGTCCATCCCACAGAGCTGCTGGCCTGGGCCTAGCAGGTGCCATGTCCAGACCAGACTGTAAAGGGCTGGGTCATGTGCCTTGGCTAAGGGTTGGGACACCCAGGGTGCAGGAAGGGTAGCATAATCTAATCCTCACAAAGATGCCATTGGTGTGGGGCCCAGGAGACCCAGAGCCTGGACAGACTGGAGCAGTGAGCAGAGGTCTCAGATAGGCTGGCCTGGACCCTCACAATGGCCCTGTCCCACTAAGTACAGGCTCCACACCAGACACTGCCCACTCTGCTCTTTGCAGGCACCTGCTGGTAGCCTCAGGGCAGGGACTTTGCCCCTCTGAGCTCTGTCTTCCAGAGGCCTTGGAAACCCCACCCTACCCCTGGACTGATAGGAGGAGCTGGAGGACACAGAAAGGGTCTCAGAGCAGAAGTGGCTGGTGTAGGCCTCACAGAAAGAGCGGGGCACGCCACAGAGGGGGATCCAGACTCTGGGGTATGAGGTCCCACAGACTCCCCCAGCACTGCTCCTACTAGGTCTATGGACCTGTTCCCATAGGAAAGTGGTCCACAGAGGCCTTTGCCATGGGAGTGGAAAGGAGGCTTTGCATTGTCTGTGATAGAAATGATCCCTCATTCTAGAGCTGTGCTGCAGCCAGTACTGGAGCATAGGGTGGCTGTGTTAGAAAAGAGAAGATAATTTCACTGTACCTGTGCAGCTTATTTGGGAAAAGTGTAGAGTTCTTGAAAACTTGCTGGCCAGCTGGATGCTGGGGGAGGCTCTGCTTCTCCAGGCAAGGCTGTGGCAATGCCCGACAGGACCGTGGGCCCTCTCCTGGAGTGCCTGGTTCTGCCACCAGCACATCTGCAGGCCTGTGTGGAATGGAGCAGGGAATGTGCACTGAGCAGGGAAAGTGCTGCTAGCCACACCCCATTGGTTAGGGTGCCCTTACCCCAGCATTCTGTGGGTATCCAGACTGGGATCTGCCCCTCAGAGGACCCCCCTGGGCTCCCACCCTGATGGTCTGGTATCTGCTCCCTCCTGGTTTTCAGATGGGGAGAGTGTCCAATGTGCAAGATCAGGCAGGAGCCTCAGAGAACAGAGAGGCAATGGGGGAAAGCCACGTCCGCCACTGCTGGCTTTGGGGATGAAGGCAGCTGTGAGATAAGGGTCTCAAGCAGCATTTGAAGCTGAAAGCAAGGAGATGGATTCTCATCAAGAGCCTCCAGGGAAGGCTGGGCGCGGTGGCTCACGCCTATAATCCCAGCACTTTGGGAGGCCGAGGCGGGTGGATCACGAGGTCAAGAGATCGAGACCATCCTGGTCAACATGGTGAAACCCCGTCTCTACTAAAAATA